TTTTTTTCATTCATTGGGTCTTGGTGGACAAGAACCTTCCTTTGGGAGAACCAGGTGTGTGTGCTATACATCTGGCAAGAGAAAATAGTCTTTTTCTAAGCAAGAAATTGAGTTTGCTGTGAACACAGTAGGGCTCCTTGTGAGCAACTGTCTTTCATTGCTTTTGGACCAGTGGTAGGATTCAATTTATTTATTTTTTACTGCCGGTTCTGTGGGCGTGACTTGGTGGCCATGGTGTGGTTTGGTGAAGGTTTCTGTCGGTGTTCCAGCAACCCTCCATTCCAGCCAATAACTCCAAGACAGACATCTCTCAAAAGTCCCTTTATTTGGGTAGTAACTGGCACATCTGTGGAATCTCTAATCTGAAACTTTCGGGCTTCCTTGAAAAAGTCAAAGCTACAAATCCACCCCCCCCCCCAGCTTAGCCATCACCACATCACATGGTCCAATCCCCATCCGTCCTAAAGTAAGATTCCCATTTCGTTATGCGCCACACTCAGTGACCTTGAACCAGCAAAAGAATTTTATTTTGTCTAACTAGATATACTCAAATGAATTCCTCCCTCCCACTTTCTCAGGCTCAATCGTGGCAGCGTGGGAACATCGAATCTCAATATGGCTTCCAAAGCTGACAGTTACTGCAGAATCCCCCTTCCCTCCCCATCCCACCCCACTAACCTGCTTTCCAGCTCCGTTCTCCTGTGCAGAGCAACCAAAGGAGACCCAGCCAATCAGCTGGGACCTGATGGGAGGCAGAGAATAGATGGGGTTGGCGGGGCCAGTCAGAGGTAATATTTGCCGGTTCTCCAAACTACTCAAAAGTTCTCCAGAACCGGTCAGAACCTGCTGAATACCACCTCTGCTTTGGGCTATAAGTTTAAAAGGAATGTTGGATTGTTCCTCAAATGCAGAACCAAAGGAGAGATGACTAGAAAGGACAAAGTGATACCCGTCAGTGTAACTGCAGATCCTTCTTTGGCGGTTTGCAATGCGTGGGAAGCTTGAACTGTTGAAAAGATATTTTTCATCTCAACTGGAGGTATCCAACCGTAGCAATGTTTAAGATTTGTGGATTTCAACACCCACAGAACTCCCCAGCCAGCTGAGAAGAAAATGACTAGATTTCGTAGATCGATTCCCTTGTCTGGCAAAATAATGCTAGTTTTTTTTTCATCGATAATCTTGAAGGAAGATCCAGTTCCCAGTTTAGAGAGTGGATAAATAGGATTTTCCCGGGAAGCTACAAAATGGATTAAGTTAATCCCCATACCTTTCAGCATGGCCTCTGCTGCCTGGAGCTTACAGCTCATTATCATTCAGCAGTTTCCAGTATTTGAGGGTCTGATATAAAAATGCAATGTATTTACCAAAGCACCGTAAGGCAAGACAAGAAACAATGGATGGAAACTAATCAAAGGGAAGAAGCAACCTAGAATTCAGGAGAGATTTCCTAACAGTGAGAATAATCAACTAGTGGAATGGCTTGCCTTCAGAAGTTGTGGCTGCTGGATCACTCTAGGCTTTTAAGAAGGGACTGGACAGTCATTTGCATGAAATGGTATAGGCTTTCCTTCTCACGCAGGGAGTTGGACTAGATGACCTCCGGGGTCACTTCCAACTCTTGCAATTCCCGTGTTCTATGTTCATGTCAACATGCACGGTTTTCTCTTTCTTTAATTCCACCCAGCTGGAAATTTCCTGTACGTTATTTTGGGGGTGGAAATCATCAATCTGCTGAAGTGGGTAAATATTAGCCTAGATAAGAGAGATGATGGAAGGCTGGACTCCAGAGAGGTGGATAAATGGCCTCAGGTTTGAATGGGACCTGATCTATTCCATCACTTGTACTTTGGGTCCCACCTGGGAGAAGTTGCTTTGAGAACGTGGGTTGAACTGATGGGAAAGTTGGGTTTTATTTATTTTGGCAGCTGCAGCTCCAGGCTAAATGCCAATTTCCAATCTGTGTTGATTGGATTGAAATCCCGTCCCGTCCCTCCTAAGATATGAATTGGGGAGTGGGCTGTGACATGTTTCTGGGAGAAAGTTCCAGACTGTTTTCCATGGATAGTTACTTAATGGTCCCCGGTTGCCCCGCCAGGGCTTAATTCTTCTTTGCTCAGCCTCCAAATGTGTTGGGGCCGCATTTCCCAGAATTCCCAGCTGCAATGGCTCAATTCCTACCAGATACACCAGACAGAGAAAAGAAGAATCAAAGTCAATGCGGCCAATCTGAAAATTAGATCAGGGTCTCTGTGAGCTTTTAATTTGTATTTAATGTTTCTTTATTTTATTTGTCGGGCATGTATTAGATAGCAGATATAAGTATAAACACGATTATACATGATCCGTGGAATGGGTAAGAATAAAAGGGAACATTAGCACAGGGACGGTAGGCACATTGGTGTGCTAATGCACGCCCCTCTTACGCAAGTTTCCCTTGAGAGCCAAAGGAATAGATAAACAGATGAAACTGGGAAACGCAAAGGAGTCAAATAGGTCAGTGCCAAAGTTGAACACCTGTAAACTGGTCAACCTAAGTCAATTCAAACGATAATTTTCAGTCAGCTCAGTTCAGTAGGAAATATAACTTTCTTGATATTTTCCGCTAAATCATAATGTACGAATGAAGGCAAATATACCTGTCCAAGGATAATATTGCTGGCTCCAATCTGAATTAGTCCCCAGCAGAGGTGGTATTCAGCAGGTACTGACCAGTTCTGGAGAACCGGTAGCAGAAATTTTGAGCAGTTCGGAGAACCGGCAAACACCCCCTCTGACTGGCCCCGCCTCCATCCATTCTCTGTCTCCCATTCAGTCCCAGCTGATTGGCTGGATCTCCTTTGGTTGTCCCGCACAGGAGAACAGAGCTGGAAAGCAGGTTAGTGGGTGTGGGGAGGGAATGAGGATTTTGCAGTATCCTTCCCCTGCCACGCCTACCAAGCCACGCCAGAGAACACCACGCCCAGAGAACACCACACACACCAAGCCACGCCCACAGCTGATCAGCTGGGTCTTCCTTGGTTGCCCTGCACAGGAGAACGGAGCTGGAAAGCAGGTTAGTGGGGGTGGGGAGAGAATGGAGATTTTTGCAGTATCCTTTCCCCTGCCATGCCCACCAAACCACGCCCACCAAGCCAAGCCAAGCCATGCTCACCAAGCCACACCCACAGAACCAGTAGTACATTTTTTTGAATCCCACCTCTTGGAAGGGACACCACTGCTTTGTCTAATTGTGGATAAGTCAAGACTTTGAATCCTTGAGTTCCCATAGAGTGATGCGCTCCCATTCCCATGATCATTTGATGGTAGCACAGAGATAACAAGACGTCTTACAAATCTAACCCTCCTCTCCCCTGCCTTTCGTTTCCTTTTGCTTGTGATTGTCAAATAACCCAAGGTATTCTTGGCTGCCGGTGCAGGAAACTTAAATAACTGAATTATTTGGCCAACAAAAAGATTTGAAGCTTCAGATATCGATACGCTGCCTACAGAGTTATTTCTAAACGACTACTCAGCAGAACGCTTCCTTAGGTCTCTTGACCGCTCTCAATGATAGTTAGGAGAGTGATTTGAACATTTGATAAACATGTCTTCTTCACAAGAATATATACTTCCAGGGGTTCATAGGACTGCTGGTCTAGCAAACACCTGGGAAATTGCTGATCAGGATTATAATTTTCCAGGAGATTGGAAATATACCTGGTCATTGTGATTTGGAATATCTCAGCCAAATTCTCCATACATTTGGACTGCAGTTCTCTAACTTTCCAGTAGTGATTATACTCAATATTCTGGGAACTAATCGGCACATATGAAGACCCCTTCAGGTTATGAAAGCCTGACTTCAGATGACATAATCTCTGTTCCACAGTAGTAAGAGCACAGATGTGAAGGGGAAGGTCAACTTATTCTCCGAAACAGCTGAGGGCAGAACCAGAAGCAATTTCCCGACAGTTAGAAAAATTAATCAGTGGAACAATTTGCCTCTAGACATTGTGAATGCTCCAATGCTGGAAGTTTTTAAGAAGTAATTGGACAACCATTTGTGTGAAATAGGATAGGATTTCCTGCCTGAGCAGGGGGTTGGACTAGATGACCTCCAAGATCCCTCCAAGGTTATTCTGTTATTAACATCAGTTTCTTTTCCAACTGAAGACAGTTGTTTAACCCAACTTTGTGTGTGTGTGTGTGTGTGTGTGTGTGTGTATGTATGTATGTATGTATGTATGTGTATATTGTTTTGTTTTAAACTGGTCTTGGGTTAATATGTTGCCATACTCTTCCTGGAGGTTATGAGCACTGAAATGTAAGCGATTTGGAGGATATCTGATCATGGAAGGCCATTTTAAACAAATATTCCTTCTGTCAGCCTGTGCTCCATTCAAAAACCAAGAAAGAAATGCTCAAACTCCATAGGTTAGAGCAAAGTTTTTCCTTTTACTGGAAATCAAAGTGGAAGCTACAGGTTGAATTCTGAATCTAAAGAATTTGGCGCGCAGATCACATATACAAAGGGATGGAATTGTTCCCACCCCACAAAGTCCAAAAGATTCTTCCAATTAAAAGTTCTGCATATGATCATGTGGTGATGAGGTGGTGATGAGGCCTCTGTCCGTTGACCTTGACATATTTTGATAAAATTTCGCAGCTGCGCAAAGGATAGAAAAACTAGGCAAGGAAATAGAAACTTAAGAACAGGAAATTATACTCCACCTCCTCCTTCCCATTTACAGCATAGGAATGTAACACCTCCAGCTTTCTTCCCCCCCAATTCCCCCCTTCCCCCCCGTTACTAATGACAGCCGAAAGATGGAGCAGTAAGAAAGATGCAAAGCAGCGCAAAAGATGTAGAGGTGATCATCTTGAAGGCTGACACCTTCCTCTGCTGTAGCTTGGCTACAAACCCTAGTTTACCGCTTCCAGGGTGATTTCTTTTTTTCTTTTCTCTGTCACTGACTAACTTGGCTCTCCCGTTTAAATTTCTTTTGCCTTCCTTCCAGCCCTGAAGATGAAAATAAAGGAAGTGAAGAAGGAAAATGGGGACAAGAAAATCATCCCCAGGAAGAAAAAAGCTTTGAAATTGGGTACCATCAAAAAGAAAGAACTGAAGAAACTCGTTTTGTACCTCAAGAACGGGGCAGACTGTCCTTGCCACCAGCTGGACAACCTCAGCCACCAGTTTCTCATCATGGGGAGGAAGGTGAAAACCCAGTACCTGCTGACGGCCATCCATAAGTGGGATAAAAAGAACAAAGAATTCAAAAAGTTCATGAAGAAGATGAAGACTCCAGAATGTTCCACGTTCCAGTCTGTCTTCAAATGATCGGCTGGGGCTGGAGGAAAGGGGACATGGGTTTTTTTTTTTCATATTTTTTCCATTAATAAAACTTTAATTTTTTTTATATTTTATATATATATATATATATAAAACAAATGTATATAGCAGGCCCTGAACTTGCACAGTACCGAGTGGGTGGGTGATTCACGTAACATTTTGGCTTCTTCGACTTCTGTGGATACTGATTCTTCTGCCTTTTAGAGTTTTCTCGTGTTCTCCTTGCCTGTTCCTCTCTCCCCCCACCCTACCATCCCCAGTTCAAGGGCACCCGCTAGAGGAGGAAGAGGGCGGGCAAAGAAGTCAAGATGGCGTCCGTGATCATGTGATCAGAATCCCACCTCTCTTTTTTTTTGACGTACATTGCGTGACACGTTAAAAAAAATGGTGTAGGGCTTCGATCATGTGGTTGCAACTGCTATTTTGGATTTTCCTGCACTCCTCCCACGTGTCTCTGTCCCCGTTCATATCCTCATTAGAGAATGTTCAAAATATGCAAATATATTTATATACTTTTTTGGGGGGGTTGTGCCCAGATCTCTACAGCCAACCAGAAAATCCAGCTACCTGCAACACATCTCTTGTAGCTTTCTGTTTTTATATATAAATATATATATATATAAACCTGACTTTTAAAAAAATAGTATATATCATTTTTTTATCAGTTTTTTTTCCTTAAGGGATCATTTCCCCAAGCTCTGCTTCATCCTTTTTCCAGGATTAATTCCATATAGATCAGGGATGTCAAACTTGCGTCATCCCCAGTAGTGGTGTTCAGCTGGTTCTGACCAGTTCTGGAGAACCGGTAGCAGAAATTTTGAGTAGTCTGGAGAACTGGCACATGCAACCTCTGACTGGCCCCACCAACCCCATCTATTCTCTGCCTCCCATTGAGTCCCAGTTGATTGACTGGGTCTTCTTTTGTTGCCCTGCACAGGAGAACGGAGCTGGAAAGCAGGTTAGTGGGGTGGGGAAGGAATGGGGATTTTGCAGTATCCTTCCCCACCACACCCACCAAGCCACACCCAAAGAACCGGTAGTAAAAATTTTTGAATACCACCACTTGTGATGACCTTGGGTGTGGCATAAAAATAACAAAGTCACAAAAGTAGAATCAATTCCCTTTAATGCCTCCCCCAACTTGGCCCCCAATGTCCAGTTATCTTCGGCTGGAAATCAAACTCTTCCAAAAACAGATTACAAAGGGAAGAAATGCAGCCCGAACCCAAAGTAAAGATAAATTAGAAATAAAAAACCAACACAAACTATGCTGAAGTAATTAACACAACAGGCCAGGATAATAAGTTGCAGACTTCCAAAAGATAACAAAGCACGCACAGTTGGGAGGACGCCAAAACCCAGATAAGCCTCAACAAAGATAATGCACACTTTGCTTCCAGCAGGGTGCTGTGTGCAAATGCCCTACTTATATCCTGTTCTCCCAGCTGCAACTAATGAAAGGGATCAGGGCCTTTTTCTCTCCCATAAGCCATGTTGCTCCCTTCTCCGTTCTTCCCTGCATGCCCTAGGATGAAAAGGGGATGGCCCTGGGCCTTCCTCTGAATGCCCAGCCGGACTGTGCCATTCCCCCATTTCTTCCACAGCCACCGGAGCCACACTCCCACTCCCTGTCAGCTACTCAATCTTCCCCTCAGAATCAGACTCCAACAAGGGCACGACACCACTCTTCGTCACGGGATGTTTTCCCCCCTTCGCTAAACTGGGGGGGGAGGGGGGGAGTCAGCATGTGACACATCTGGCCTGCTGCTTGTGAGTTTGACACCCCTGAATTGTAGATAGTCCATCTGAGTCAGGGATCCTGTGATAGAAGGCCTGTTGATGTCACAGTGCTACGTAGCCTGTTGGATTTGGCTACCTGATGAAGCCATTCTGTGATAGTGACAGGGATACAAGTGACAACATACAGTCAATCTTCACTTATTTTATCGGGGTTTTTCTTTTGCAAGAATTTGCCAAAAAGGAGGTGTCCCATCTACATTGTAGAAATGAACAAAAATGGAAACCACCTGAGATTATTTCAACTCAGCTCTGAAGGTTATAGCAAGAAAATTCCTAAATTCCTACCGAAACATTCATTGATTCATGTGATGCTACTAGGTTTTATCCCAAGGAAGGTGTTTTCTTTAGATGAATGGTATTTTTTTGCCCCTGGAGCAGAAATGGCTAACGTGAACCTGTAGGCAGAACTTCTTGAAAAATTTACTGTAGAGATCTGGAGGCAGATCATTTAATCCCCATGTTTTTCTTTCTGCACCCCCAATGAATTAAATACGGGAAGGGGAGAAAGAAAAAAATTGAGAGGAGCAGTCAAGTTTCTCTAATAACCCAGTGAACAAAAGTAGAAAGAGTCGTATAAGGATATGGTTCGTAGGATTGTATTTCCACAGATTGATTTTATTGCAGGGCATTGAAATTTGGAGGCACCTTTGCACAGGCATCCCTTCCAGGGTCAGCTGCTTGGCTCATGAACTGTTGAGAATGCTGATGTTATTTAATAAGATAGAATGAGCTGGAAGGGACCTTGGAGGTCATTTAGTCCAGCCCCCTGCTCAAGCAGGAGAACCTATGATGGCCATGTGGCATTTTTGCCTATGCGAGAGAGGGGTCTAGGTGTAAACTGACAGGTTGGGGGCTCAATCTTTGTCTTCAATCCATCCTAAACCCGGCCTCTGGCTAGTCCCATTTGTTTACAATATATTTGTAGACCTCTCGAGAGCCACGTTTTTTTGTTCGAAGAAACTTTTCTCCCAGTTGATCCCAGGTGAATGAAGTGGGAGAGGAACAATCCATGGGCAGGGGTCCCTGGTGACACTGAGACATAATTCTATACTAGCCTCCTTTTGGCTAGTTTCTGTAATTAATCTGGGTTGAGGAAAAGAAATGGGAGACGTAGGAAAGAACTTGGGTGGTTAGAAAAAGAAAAGATGGATGACCCCACCATCATTTTTCCTGTCCACTGCCTACCTAACCCCAACTATAGAGTTACGTGACATTTTCAGAAGAATGAGGCCGTTGACATAAGCTTGCCCGATAAACTTTCATCCTTTGGAAGGTGATCTTTGGCATTCACACCTTCCCAGAAATGGAACATAATGTGAAAAACAAAGGGATTCCCCCAAGACAACCTCAAAGTTTTCTCATTTCTCATTATTTCTCATACCCGGCAATATTTTCATTTTTTGCTACAAATGCTGATATTTGGCCATCATTTGATAGAACTACAATGAAATTTCATTCTGGCTCGTGACAGCCATCTCTGTTCCAGCCGTTTCCTTAAAATGTGAAATATTGTGCATTACTCTCCTTCAGACTTAGATTATACACAGGAGCAAGATCCTTGGTCCTTTCCATGAATGACGCTATCTGAATTTTGTATTTGGAAGCTTTCTTTTTTCTTTTTTCTTGTTTTCTTGGTATTTCCATCTCCCTCGTTTCCACGTGCCTTTTTCTTAGTGGATAATTTTATGAGTAGATGTGAGATTATAGAAATGTGAGTTAGACTGGAATTTGTGCCTTTAAGAAGTTCCGTCCTCTTCCTCTTTTCTTTTTTTCTGGTGTTAAATTGTTTTCTCTAAAGATAGCCACACTGAAGAAGGAGGGAAATGCTGTATAATATATCCTGACAGAATCTAGCATTATTTTTTAGATCATTCTTGGTATCTTTGCATGAAGTTCTAAAATAACCAGCGGTGAGGTTTTCAAACTCCAAATGGTCATTGCAGCAAGTTAATCCTTTGCAGAAGGCTGCTGATGGCAAAAAAAAATAACAGTAACACCAAACTTTGTTTTCCAATCTTATTTTGAAATCCTGTCAGGCGCTATCCATCATGGACGCCAAACAAAAAGTTGGCTCCTAATTGTAAGCGGAGAAAGAGATGAGTGTGTTCCTCAGCCAACATAACAATTGTTTGAATTATGTTTTGTTGCCAGATCATTACTTTTGTTGTTTTCTTACTCCCTGCCAATGTCATGTTTCCCAAACAATAACTTCCACTCTTTCCCCCCGCCAAAGGACACAATATTCCTTGTTATTTCAAATAAGCCATGATGTATAAAGTTAGGGCAGATGTTTCTGGCTTTGACAATGCATTTCCATCTTGTTAAGTTCGCATCTTTGTTGGGCTTTCCTTCTTTACTGAGATTCTAATACTTGGCTAAAACAATGGCTTTCGGACAATTGGAAGCAGGGGTTGAAGATGTTGTGGGTGATGAGGTGACCGCAAAAAGGTGCAGAAAAGATGCATTTCTGAAAGAACCAGAGACTCCCAAGCAAAAAGTCCATCCCCATCCTCAAAAGTTCTTGTCTTTTGGTGTTGTTGTCATGAAGCTTATTTCCCGATCGATGTTCCATTTTATAGAATTAAGAATATTTCCTAATTCTTGCTTTCTTTTAACAATGTTTATTATTTCTCTTGTCCATAGTAGATTCACACAACTTGTAGACTAGAGTAAAATGGAGTTAGAGCTTACTTATGGGAATCTACCAGTGTTAGTGCGTACTCCCTCAGACCATCTCAATGGGCCAAATAATGGTTTCTTTGGGTATTGCATACGAAGGACACAATAACCAATGTGAATTGTTAACTAGATTAGTGTGTTACACGGATGATATGGGTTAGAATTGAATTTATTTCAGGTCCAGTGGGAATGGCCTGTTTTATTGGACAAATTAACAATCTGCATGTTGTCACATATAGGTTGGATTCATACAACCTGCAGTTCCCTAACCTGCATGTGTCTCATCTCAAAAAGTTCTTCCAAGTAAAAATGAACGGGGTGACAGCCTTCAGGACTCCAACTTTCCTAAGAGATGCCATTGACAAGAGAGAGTGGTGTGATGACCTAGAGGTGGCGCTCTCGCCTCACAATCAGGAGGCGGTGGGTTTGATCCTTGGTAGGGGCAGATATTTCTCTCTCTGGGCACAGTGAGAATATATCTGCTGAATATAACTCCGTATTGGCAACGGAAAGGGCATCCAGCGAGTAATCACTCAGTTGCCCAGACTCCACCCCGCAAGGTATTATAGGGTTGTTAAAAGAAGAAGAAGAAGATGATGCCATTGACAAGAGAGGGGATACCTGGCCTCCTTCCTTTCCCTGTAGTACAAATATTGGGAGGTCCAAGTCTCCAGCTTACCTGGAAGATGTAATCGCTGACTTCCAGCCCTGACTAACAAATGACCTTGGGGCTTCAGGAGAAGAAAGACATACACACAGATGGCAATCTCATTTCTCCCAGCAAGCCACACCACACCCCCAGTATGGTCAGTACTGATGGCCTTCTCCCGATTGACTCCTCCTCATTAATATCTATGAGGGGCTACGTATCTGATTCAAATCATTGATCCAGCTAAGAACGCTGATTAGATCTAATCCCATTATTTCAGTAAATAGTTCGTGTAAAGTGTTTATTTTCCCTGCCTCTATTTTTTGATCGAGTGTTGGAGCATTCAAAACTTCTGCAGTGACTGTTGTTCCACTGATAGATTGTTCTCACTGTCAGGAAATTCCTTCTTAGTTCTAAGTTGCTTCTCTCCTGGGTTAGTTTCCACCTGTTGCTTCTTGTCCTGCC